AGCTCAAAGAAACAATTTCCAAATTAAAATAATTTAATCAAGGCCATCTTCAAGCTGGGCGTGGCGGCGCATTCCTGTGATCCCAGCACTGGGGAGGCTAAAGCAGGCGGAATTGCAAGAGAGGTCAGCTTGGACTGCACAGCGAAAGCCAGTCTCAAAAAGACAAAAAAAAAAAAAATCTTCAAAACTATCTGGCCTGGAACCTAAGCACTTTCCACCACACTGCTTCGCTGTGAAAAGCTCATTTTGCATTCGAATCCCAGATTATGGCCCCAGATGATGACCGGGAGCATCAGGAGCCCCCTCCCCACCCCGGAGGGCTCGGACCGCGGAGGCCTGGTGGTGGAGACTGCGCTTCCGCTGGCTCGGCTGGTCCAGGGCTTTAACCTGGGCAATCTCACCCTAAAACTGAAGCCTCTGGCGCCCTTGCAGGGCGCTTAGAGTACTTTAGTTTTCAATGAACGCGCGATTCGCAGTCTGCAGCAATCGCAGTCTCCGGGCCGCTGCAAAGATGGGTCTCGGAAACCACCTTCGTCGGCCGGGAAACTCGGGGAACCCCGGCCCCAAGCAGCTGCGGGCCACGCCCTCGCCTGCACCCGGGTCCCCGCCTCGCGGCCGCACCCGCGCAGCACAGGGCCGCTGCCTTCCCCACGCGGCCGAGTCCACGCGAGCGGGAAGCCCGGGAGCTGAGCCCCCGGGGTGCAGGGCTAAGTCGACGCCCTCGGGGCCGAGGCTGCGGCGGGCGGGCGCACCCCGGAGGCCGACGCCCCGCAGCGCCGGCCACACCCGCCCGCAGCTCCGTCCAGACCCGGCCTTGCCAGCCCCCCGGGACCGGGCGCACGACCCCGGCCTTCCCGCACTCGGACCCTCCGGGGACTCCGCTCACCTGGGCCGTGCCGACCGAGCGGACCGAGCTAACGTCCGGGGCGAGCAGGGCCGCCTGCCGGGTGGGGCTTTATACCCGCGGCTCCGCCCCGCCCGCCCGCCCGCCCTGCTCCCACCCGGGTCCGCGTGAGTCACCGCCCCGCCCGCGGATCCCTCCTCCGAGTGCCACGTCGAGTTCCCGGCCTGGGCAGGGGGACTGCGGCTCGCTGAGGGCGCTTTAAGGAAAAAAGAAAGCTCCCAGGTGTCGGTATCTGGAGGAAAGAACTGTTCCAGACGCCGCAGTTTGAGTCCCCTGGGCCGGGCTGCGGCTGGAGCGGCGCCAGGAGCCGACTCGGAAGACCCGGCCCGACCCCGGCTGGGCTGTGGGGAGAGGCTGGGAAACGGGTGCGCCCCTCGGCCGCGGGGACGCCCTGCCCCGCAGGCAGCCGTCGCGCCCCTCGGCGCCCCGACCCCCGCGCCCTAGCGCGTCTGCAAGGCCGCCTGGTCCCCGCGCCCCTCAGACCGCGCCCGGGCTGGCGCCTCCTTGTCCATGCGCTCGAGTCACTCTGCACCTGGTGTGGATGGCCTGCGAGTGTCTCTGCACTCCAACCGCGGACGCAGGAGTCCCCAGGCCTTTGCCGGGTTCTCCGGCCTGCATTCCAGCGACTCTGCCCCCGGAGGTCCTGTCTCCCTCCACTTTTGACGTCCAGTTTTCCTTTCCACGTGAACATCGCTTTGCTCTGGGGAATTAAAGGACAGCGGAGCCAGCAGACGTGAGGGGCTGCACACTGTTGCTTAGCAGGTGCGCCGCCAGCTGTGCCACACCTGAGCGCTCAACTCCAAGGGCCATCCTGGAGAATCCTACCTAACGCAAGGGCAACGTTTGATAACATTTTTGAGTTCCATATGCAGCTGTCCAACTGGAGTGAAGACAAGATCCATGTGTCTGTCATCTGGGGCTGACATTTGGGGACATAGGAGGAAATGGGTGGAGACCAGGGGCAGCCCACCTGCCTTCTCCGGAGCTTAGGCCTGGATCCACAGCTTCCTGCACCTGCTTGGGCTGTGGGAAGCCCTGGACAAAAGATAAGATCTCATTGCAGCCATGTGGAAGACAGCTAAGCCGCAGTATCCAACAGAATTTTTTGGTAACTGTAAGCATCTGGGAAAGCCGAACTCACACAGCGCAATGCCATTAGCCTGGCCCTACCTCATGCTAGAGTGATGTTATCAGCAAAGGGCAGAGGCTGAAGTCATGGTTTGGAACCGCTAAGGAATGTGAGGCCAGTCCTGCCCTAGAAAAGAGCTTTAGACTCTTTGTCTAACAATCCTTGTTCTTATTGTTTGATCCATTTTGCATGTCAGTCTTTTTTGTGTGTGTGTATTTGGTACAAGATTTCACTAGGCAGCTCCAACGCATAAAGATCCTCTTGTCTTCAGCCTTCCCAGCGCTGGGATTACAGGCCCGCACCAGCCCACCTCGACTTGGTGGCCCGTGGGCCTGGGGGTGGGGCCGGTGCAGTATGTGGTGCTGGGGATCAAATCCAGGTCTCTGTGCTTGCCCAAGCAGGCGCTTTAGTCTGCTGAGCTATCTTGCCAGCCCAACAGGCCTATGTCTTGTAATCTGAGCATAATCTGAGCAACTACTCTGAAGATAACAATATGCCATATAATACCAATTGTTAGTTTTCTAGGGGCTTGATGGAAATTCTGTATCATTGTTTTTACTGGGTTTTTTTTTTTTTTCTCTTTAAAATACATAAAAATCCTTTCTCTTTCCTTTCTCCCTGCGCCTTCTCTTTCTCGCTTCTCCTCCTCCCACGATGGTTGTGCTGGATGCTCACCGCATCACATCATGTCTGTGTGGTGCAAGCTGTCCTCTGAGAGCCTGGCGGTGTTTGTCTGCACGTTATCTGCTGAACCTCAACGCGTTGAACAGCGCCTTGCTAGCGGTGGCTGACACTCATCAGATGCAATACAATAGCAGAATTATCCCCACAATGGTAACATTATTGATAGAATAAGAGCCTGTGAGGGCAGGCCGGGGCCTTAGAGAGGATCTCGTCCTATTTTTGAGTTCTACCTATGAAGAAACCAGAGCGCAAATAAAGCATGGATTAAGTAATACATGGAAAGCCTCCCAGAGTTACCTCTTCCCCCGGAATGCCACCCTTCACATGGAGGTGTGAAACGTGCACACCCGTGTGTTCCCGCAGCACTGGGGGGCAGAGGAGCCCTGCTCACGCAGGGTTGGACTCCCACAGGTTGGGGGCACAGTGGCTTCCTCGGGGCGTCCACACCCTTGGTTTCTCATCCCGCCTGTCTCCCTGTCCCTGCACCAAGGCCATAATGGTGGCTGCTTCCTGGAGGCCACAGCTGCGTTAGCCTGGCGCTCTACAAAGCCAGAGTGAAGCGGAGAAGAACCCAACTGACGCCATGTTGTGCTCGGCGCTGTCTTAGAGCTTGAGCTTCCCTTTCCTTAAGCTCGGTGCTTGTAAATGGTGTCATCATTACCTAACCGGATTCCATCCCACGCTTTGTCAGAAGAATGCTTGTTCTCTATGTAAAACGTCACACACCTGTGTTCCTCTGTCACACGCTAAGCCCATGCTTTGCAGGGGGTCTGTAGCTGCAGTAAATCATACCCGCGCCACCCCCAGCCCAGACCCGGAGTGGGGACGTGTAACTGCTCTCTCCTCCTGCCCACTGGGGTGGTGCTCCCTCGTGTACTGGGCCCCGACTACCAGCTAATAAACCTGCTTGTCTCTGCCTCCGGTCTCCTCCGGGTGACTCAATTAAATAAGGGCATGTGCCGCAACAAGAGGGCGGGCTGGACTTGACCTACCTGGACCCTTACTTTAGTCCAGTGTTTGGCTTTGCACCCTCCTTGGGCTCCATCCTGAGCCGTCTTCCTTCTCCTCCAGAGCAGCCCACATTCACAGCTAAGGGTCTCTCTGTCATTAGTTTCATGCCCGGAGAAACTCAAAGGTCTAAAAATTTTGGCCTACTGCCCACTGCTTTTGTTCAAACTAGCTTTTATTTATTTATTTTTTTTTACTACAAATAATTTAAAAATCATATGGCTTTAAAAATCAGTCTTAAAAATAAAAATCAGTCTTGCTGAGTTTCACTCCATGTTCCCAAATTCATATCCAATGCAGTTTTCTCAAAAAAAAAAAAAAAATTATTTTTAAAAGTCAGTGGTATTGAGGTTTAGTTCTAAGCATCAGCATCAGGATCCACGGCCACCAGGCTTCCTGAAATGTGCCTCCTCTTCGCACCTGACAAACTGCCATGGGGCACTGTGCTTAAAGATTTTTAAACTGCGCTCCTTTTTCTCCAGCCCACGTGGGCGGCAGTGACGTCACTGGCTGTGCGCAGCGGGCGCATGCGCAGAGCCCATCTCCGCGCCCTCCTCGGCCTGCTGCCTCCCGCCGCTCGCTGCTCCTTCCAACCCCTGCCCCTTCCTATTTGCAAAAGCTCAGTCTCCATTTTTTCCTTCAATTATTTTTTTTTTTTTGTCACATCTCAAATCCTTTCTTCTCCCCACCCCATTTCTTGTTCCCCTTTTCATTTGGAAAAGCTCTCTCTGCGTCCTAATGTCTATCATTTATTTTGCTCTTTATTTATATTCTGAGTTTCTCACGTAAGCTAAGCTATGTGGTATTTACACTTCTGCGGCTGACTTACTTCCCTGAAGTTACAGCCTCAAGGCGCATCCACTTACCCATCAGTGCCTGGTTCATGGCTCTTCATGGCAGTGTCGCGCTGCATTGTGTATAAAGATCCTGCTTTATCTGTTCCTCTCTGGTGAGCTGCTCGGCTTTTCCCAAGATTCAGTTGCACACCATGTTGCCATAAACATGGGTGTGCATTTATCCCTGTAATCTGATCCCTTAATCCCTTTAGGAAGATACCTAGAAGGGGAATATCGGGGTCAAAGGTAATTTTTCCCCCCCTGGAACCAGGGATTGAACTCAGGCCCTTGCACTTGCTAGGGAAGTGCTTATTCCATTGAGCCATCTCCGCGGCCCCTCAAAGGTAATTTCTGCTTTTAGTTCTCTGAAGAATCTGGGCAGAGCTCAGAAGACCCGAATGCTGACAGCGTGATAGCAGTGCATCAGTAAAGACCGGAAATGAGAGGGTTCCGTCGGGAACAAGCGCTCCCTTGGCAGTCGGGCTCTAGACCGGAAACGAGAGGGTTCTGTCGGGAACAAGCGCTCCCTTGGCAGTCGGGCCCTAGACCGTGTGTATAATGCCCTGGTGGAAATTTTGTCTATATTTTGCTCAGGTACTGAGATTTTGCTGGAGACTAAGATTAAAGGTGGTGGATTATTTAATCTGGCAGAGGAAATTTCAAGGCAGCCCAATGTCCAAGTGGTTGCATGGATACTGCTTGATACTTTCAGCCAGATTTATACTGAAAATCACAGCCAAAAGCCCATTTGAAAATTTTTAGTTTTCCCAGAAAGGAGGGACCTTTTCCTTTCTTTAGAGCACAGGAGAGCTTGGTTGCTGAAAACATTAGCATTAAAAAGAGCTAGACAGGGGCCAGCCAGATTACTCAGCGGATTAAAGTACCTGCTTAGGCAGACATAGGGGCCTGGGATTTAATCCCTGGCCTGTCATGCCAGCCCCACTCCAGGGGCATGCCGAGATGGCATTTGAGACTGGGTGTGGTGGCACGCACCTGTAATCCCAGCATCTGGGAGGCTGGAAACAGGAGGATCACTATGAGTCTGATCTGTGTAGTGAGACCCTGTAACCCTGTCCTAAATACATTTTTTTTTAAAACAAAGACATAAAAAGAAGCCAGACATCTGTGTAATCCTAGCACTCGGGAGGCTGAAGCAGGAGGATAGCTGAGAGTTTTAGGCTGGCATGGCCTACATAGTGCGTTTAAGCCCAGAGTGAACTACTTACCAAGACTCCGTTTATGGAAGGAGGAGGAGGAGGAGGAGGAGGAAGAGGAGGAGGAGGAGGAAAAGGAGGAAGAGGAGGTGTAGATGGAGGAGGAAGAACAGGAAGAGGAAGGAGAAACAGCAGCTAGATACTTTACAACAAGACAACAAAAAAGATGGCCCTAGAGCATCACAGGAAGCAGCCCTGGGCCCAGCGCTGTAAACATGAAAGGCTTCACTTTAGAGAAGA